AAATAATAGTACCTCTGAATATCGGACAGGCATGGGTTATTGTGTATCAACGATGTAAACGTGTCGAAAAAGTTGGACCATTTTTCGTATGCACCGCTGAATTCGGGCAAGGATAATTGTGGAAGTTTGACATTGAATAGTGGATTATTGCTTGCTAGCTGATTACCGACGTTGACATTACTAGTGGATGGCATATTTATTGTTTGTGAATGCATATTTTGATTGAAAAATTCTGGTGACTGAGGTTTCAAATGTTCCATTACATCTCTAGAGTTTGCTATTGCCTCGTAAAACTTATCCTCCAATTCGGTGCCCTCGTTAATTTGTTCTTGTGCATCACTGATTTGTTCAATTCGCGCTTGTAACCGGAGAAATTCATCGAAATATTGCTCAATTTTTTGTAATCGTAATGATAATCGACTAAATTGACCGACCATAGGGTCATTTTCAACGAAGTTAATGAATTTCGTTAACTGACCCTTAATTTGACCTCTACGAATCACTAACCCCTTCAATTCTTCGTCCATAACTACAATACTAATTTTTCGTTTTCAATATTAACTTGCAATGTACCAAATATATTCGCACACTATCATGCAACTAACTTCGCACGCCTACGCTTAGACCAAATACTGAACAGTAACACCTGCTACTGTATTACCTTGAAAATACTTCGAATCGATTTGAAAGGGTTAATTTGATAGGTAATATTCGATATGGTTGAATGGATATATAGTTTGAAAGGACTCACGATACTGATGATTTGCATAAACTTGTAACCTTCTTGCTGGTACGATTTCCTCGCTTGTCTTGAATACTGTTGGCTCGTGTTTCTCTCAGCTTTCATTGCACTTTGACACTTTGTATACTTCTTCTCATGCTGGCTTCGGATGAACACTAATCCGGCTCGAAGGACCAATGTGTAATCTCGTGGTGTATATTGATCACTTTCTCAACGACCACTTGATTTATTTTGCTCGAAAATAATGGACTGTATAACTTTGAATACAACGTTTTAATATGATTATAATATTTGCTCGGTACAGTTCTTGCTCTGTCAAGCTGTTCTCTAATACTACTTAAAAATAACATCAAAATGGGCAAAGGCAATAAACCCTTGAACGAAACTGATTTACGACGGGGTTCGAAGAATAGCAGGTACTGCCTAATCTCTCCGCATACTCAAACAAGTGTTGAAATATATAAGAAAGATGGTCCTTATGTGTGATATACGTAACAATATTCATAATAGACATACATTTGAAAATATACCTATAAGTATGAGTAAATTTTCAGTGAAGTGTAAAGAACAATATCTCATTATGTTCAGACACTTTTTCCAATCTTCAAGTTATGAATCCACACCTTTCTCCTACCGATCACTTCCTTGTTTCCCAAATTATTAGTTTCAAATACAAATTTAGACTGTCCTGATTGTTGAAAGGAATGAAAGCTATTCTCGGGATTTTTTTGCTCAAGATGAACAATGAGGTACACAACAATGATGACTCATATTTTTAAACGTTTATAGAAGTTCTCAAACAAAGTTATAGACAATTAAAACACAACTACTTCTCATACAAAATACACGCAAACTAATGTAAACAAAACAATCAATGGCCCATACGTTAGTTATATTAGACAACGGTAGAGGGAGTACTCCTTAGCATGAATCGCCTAATTGAACAGCGAACAAATTTTCAAGCGTAAAATTCATATGGATTCAAATACCTGCGAATGTTTCACTTGGTCCAGCGTATATTTTCTTTAAGCGGCGTTCACAACCAAACTTTTTACGTTTTGCTTTTTACGTTTCGTATTCTGATTGGTGAAGCAAAATCTGTAATTGAAATGACGCAAAAAGCTGAAAATATTCAGCTTTTTGCGTTGCAAGAAGCCATCGTCTGTGAAAATAGTCGAAATAGACGAATAATATGAAACATTCTGTAATAATATGGAAGTTATGATGATGTTTTCATGATTTTTTCGTGAATCCACAGAATAGTAGATAGGTATACTGTTCAATTCATTATTTTCTTGTTGAAGATTGATTTTTCTCTTCAAGTATTGAATGAGGATCAATTTTCATCACCGCCAGTTCTATCAATTCAATATTATTAATTATCTGATCAATATTATTGTTATGATTATTTACTTCATTTCAGGATGAAAAACAAATAACAAAACCAAGGCAACTGAGCCATAAAAAGTCACGATTTTTTGTTGTTGTGAATTACATTTTCTCACGTTCAATTTCAGATTCTGCTTCACCAATCAGAATACGAAACGTAAAAAGCAAAACGTAAAAAGTTTGGTTGTGAACCCCGCTTTAGACGGGGGCAAAATATTCTTGGAAATTGACGCTCTGACACTAACTTAGATCGGTTATTGAATTGCGGCACGTTTGGATATTAGCGAAGTGTAATTATTCGTTTTTATTTGCATTTTGGTCCAACTCGTTATCACGTGACGGAAGTATGTCCGGAATATCGGCAGCAAAAAAATCGCTGTGCCGAGGATTTAACTCAGTAATAGGGGGATGTCCAGGCTCTGACTGTATGACTGTTATAAGATGAAGAATGTAAAAAGATCTACTTTCAATTGATTGTCTGATGCTCAACACTAATGTCAACTGACAACTAACATTTTATTAATGAATACAGAATATCCCTTATTCAAGAATATAAGGTAATACGGTAAACTGTTACACTATGAATCATTGATGTATCACGAGCTAGGATGAAAGAATTTATGATTTCGGGTGAACTGCGTTAAAAGCCTTACTGATAGATGTAATGTGCTGCAACTGTCGCGAGGCACTCGTTTGAAAAGATACCTTGAATGTGACATGTGACCAAGGCTATTCAACTCTATAAGGTTGCCTCATATTGACCTGGCCTGACGTCACTGTTTCCCCATCGTCTTTTGTCGAACGGCAAAATGAAAATGGCGGAGGTGAAAAACAAAACAAACAAATTTAGCATTGTGCAATCAAGTGAATATTGATAAATTTTGAAGTTTTCCAATATGTTTTTGTGTCCAAGAGATTGTTCACTGTTTTCCCAAAACATGCAGCAAGTACAAAAGACAGAAACTCAGTCAAATTCTTATTGCAATACCACTCCATTAGGACTGATTACTGTTGGCATCAATAAGGATATGGAGGTTGAACTACTGAAAGCATTTTTTAATAAAGAAAATGTTATTGGGAAGTCTGAACCTAATGATGGAATCATGGTGGACAAGGGCATGCTGACAAGGGATGTGAAGAAATATCTTGAAATTGATTAGGCCATCATTTCTGAGAAACAAGAAACAATTAACTAAAGAGGATTTCCTTCTGGATAAATTGAATGATTCTAACTCACTGGTTTTATTTCAGTATCAATTTGGAACATATTACTGTTTGAAAATGCAATAATAAGAAAATGAATTAATAAAGAAGTCATCACAATTCATTCCATTTTATTAATGCAATAAAAGTGCAACATAATGGAAATATCTTTGAGATATCTTCCTCATAACATTAACACAAAATGTATCACAAAAAAACTGGAATCTTTATGTAAGTTTTGGAGGAAGAAGAATCATACAATAAAATTAGTTTCTTTCAAGTTCATTAGGGACATTTTAGGGCCATTATTCCCAACTGAATTTATCCATAATAAGTGTGTCTCTCTTCCAACTTCACATTTTTTATACCATCTCCTATCAAGAAATGGCATTGTTCCACAAAATGTTCTGAACCTTTACCTAAAATTTTGAGAAAATAATTCAAGCTGAATGTAATACACATTATTTAACAAACCTCTATGTAAGGACCTCAGTAAGGACACTTATTTCAATTATTTCCATGGTCTTCCTTCCTGAAAAATAATTTCATATTGAGAAAATCCTAACCATGGAAAATATTGGGACACAAATTTGTTTGCATGATTTGAAATTCAATATCATTTTCAATGAACATTTTGAAAGAGCTTTGGATTCATATTCAACTCCATGCTGAACAAATTTATTTGAAAAATCCTTTGGAAAGAAGAAGTTGATTGCCTTTTTTCCCAAGACTCCTTGCTACATGTAAAAATGAAGTAGCAAGTATAAGTAAAATTTAATAAACTCACCAGTGTTCCTGAGTACCATGCAATAGCTAGTTGTTTACATTGAGTTCATTGGCTTCCAAACAAAAAACGAAATAGACTGATATACCCTGTAAAATTAACTTCAATTATATAAAGGAAGAATGATTTTAGGGGGTCACTTTCCTTCTTTTAATAAGCAGGTAGCAGAACTATTGAAATGGTTTGGCTGTATAATAGATCATTGATTGATCTACTCTCTTTCTTCAATTTTCACCACTTCTGTTTGTTATATATGCAGCTTCACATATTCCAAGTCTTCATTCCTGAAATTTCATGAATTTTTTACCTGTGTGTGTGATAGATCGAAAGTGCACCTTCCTACCTGTCAAGTCCCTATAAAATGTGTATACAAAACCGTGACATGCCTGCTTCACAGGGACATTCACATTGCCACAGCTCATCATTTTCCTTTGGAATTATCTGAATCTCATGTGGAGGCTGCCAAACAGGCATTTCATAACATTTGTTTGTTCTATATCCACTCTTGACTCCACACAATAATATTATGATATTTATGATGTGACCAGCCTTGAATAATACTACACCATATTATTATACAACCTCTCACACTCTTTCAAAGATATCTTCAGTCTTCTTGTCACCCTGTTTTCAACTAAAGTCTAAAATTCGCGATTCTTTCGAATTCAAATTCAAAATTTTTTCCAATTCATTTGACAGTGACACAAACGAAATCAACAATCACGTGGTGGGGAAACACTGACGTCACGCCCCTCCGCGCACCCCCGCACCATAATGCTATACTATGAGGTAACCTTATAGAAGTTAATAGACCTTGACATGTGACAACCTGAGATATGATTTGTCATTTGGACATTTGACATATATTTGATTTTTAATCATAAAAGTGTGGAACTGTGTTATCTTGTAAAATTAAAAAAGATAACTTTCAAGTCAAGTAGAATAATTGAAAAAGGAAATGAGGAATGTGTAATTTGTTATTCATATATTTATACCGGTTGACTTCAATTGACTGGCAATGTCTCTTGTTTCGAAGTTTCGTGGATTTTTATGGCGACATAAAAACAAGTTAATTTTTGGTAGTGCCTTTATTGCTGGATCAGTGTACCTAACAAAATATGCACAACGGAGATTGAAAGAATGGCAAGATAAGGAAGCTACAGAATTTTTTGATAGGAATCGTAAATACAGCCATTTCCAAAGTATAGGACAAACCAGTAATCAAACTGTGTCCAACTTATCAATAGCACTCCTAGATATAATCAATGAAACTGTTGATACTGATGAAGTCATTGAAGCACTCAAGAAAAACCCTGAGAAGAAGCTAGAAATGTGGAATACTCTAAAGGTAGATAATGAATGTTTTCATGAAGGAGACAGGAATTTATGCTTTAAACATCAATTCCAGGTATTGGTATTCACCAAAGCTGCTGTTATTATATATTCAATGGTAATGCTGGTTGTTACATTGAAAATACAACTAAGTCTCATTGGAGGACATCTATACAAAAATCCCAATTCTGTTTCAACTGACATGCAGGAAAAATATTTGTCTCTATGCAAAAATTTTCTCAATGATGGAGTGAAGAAATTAACCAATATTGCAACCATAGAAGTAAGTATATGCAAGTTATACTATTATTAACATCAGTTGTGATGTCCCTTGACTGCTGAATATGATTATTTAATTTTTAAGATGACAAAATGTGTTGAAAACCTAGAATTGAGTAAGCAACTGAAATTGAGTGACATAGAAGCAATATACTGGTCTATTCAGACTGCTTTAGCTACACATGTTGACAGCCCAGTAGAAAATTTCAAAGATTACATTCTTCCTGACAACTCTGCTAGTTCTAGTTCAATTTATGACCAACTAGTAAGTTTTTGTCATGAATCTAAAAATGGTACAAATTATTCCTATTGAATTTATTTCTGTTTCAGCTGAGAGATACAGCAGACTTTCTTGATAGTGATGAGGTAAAATCACTTTCTACACATTGTATTAACAGAGGGTTCATTTTACTTGGAGATCAAGTGGCAGAATTTTACAATCAGAGTAGCATGGTCACATCCACCAACAATCAGCAAGAATCATTCCAAAACCCATTTGAAATGAAGAAACCTTTAGCCAAATTGATACCAATTATAAATGGTCTATTGTCAAAACAATCTCTACCACAACATTTTGTCCAACAGCTAATTACCAATGAAAAATTACAGATATTGAGTGCCAATATATATGAGAGTTTAATGTGAAGAAAAGGTGAAAAAGTATCAAGAGAATTATTAATAAATGGCCTAAATGGGACTGAGAGTTCATGAGAATATTGAAAATGAGTTGCTCAAGAGGAATTGGATATTGTTATAATAAGGGTTCACTGGTTTTATTTTAGGTAATCTTTCTAACAGAAGGTATAAATAAATGTAATGTGTGGCCTCAGCAACTAGGCCACCTCTATATCATTGGGATCATTTTGAAATTTTTATTTTACCATTTCTGGGGTATGGAGACTATCCTACATACATCTTTGGCATATGTTTTTTGATTCTGTGCTTGAATTCGTAATTGATATTGACAAATAATGTGGCAATAAAAAACTGGAAAATATTCTTCAAGAATAATAACATGTCCCACAAATATTCCATTTCCCAATAAATAGAAAACATCTTGTGCTGGTGACACAGTATTGTAATACAGTACCAGTTGAAAATCAACACTTGATGTTAGTACCCAGAATGGCTCACTCAAATTAAAAATAACAAAATTTGCAGATCAATTTAAAACATTTTGGAGGCTTCATGTTGAACCATAGATTTTTGAAGACTGGTTATACATTTTCAAATATAGCTAATGCTTTCATTTACTCAAGATAATATTTATCTTAAGAGTTATAATGAATGATAATCAAGTACCTATATGGAACCCTATTTTTGTATTTTCGTCAGGTTATATTATTTGAGAAATTTTCCAACTTGTATTAAAAATTGAAAATTGGTATACTGTTATAATCCATCATTTTCCAATCTACCTGAAATATTTTTAGTAACCCAAAACGGGGTGTGGTGAAGGTTGACACCAACTTATGTATTTTGAATAGAAAATTTTAATGTTTTTCACATTGTTCAATTGACCTTCGAATTCTCAGTTTAGACCACCTAATTTATGTCAACTTCTCTATCACAGTTTTTTGATTATTCTGAAAATAATTACATCCATAATAGTTACGAAAACATAGAAAACATACCATACTAAATTTGTGGAACAGTTAGCTGGAATACTAGGCTAACCCTTGATGTCCCAGCGATAGTCCCATTTCCTACCATATAGGTGTGGACGATTTTTAAATGTCCCATTGAGAAATTGCCGAAAAGTCAAGTCACAGTTTTTGATTATTCTGAAAATAATTACATCCATAATAGTTATGAAAACATACTATACTAAATTTGTGGAACAGTTAGCTGGAATACTAGGCTAACCCTTGATGTCCCAGCGATAGTCCCATTTCCTACCATTTAGGTGTGGACGATTTTTAAATGTCGCATTGAAAAATTGCCGAAAAGTCAAGGAAATTGAATTTGAGGATGAGTTACTCAATCAATCCCAATACCTAGAAGATCTATCCACATGATTCAAAGTAACGAATTTTTACCTATAGGACATCAAAGGCGGCATCTAAGCTTTCACATCTCGTGAATTAGGTGATCTGTGGAATAAGTGGTTGAAAATGAAAAGATCTCTTGCATGATATGAGGCATTTCTCCATTATTATTGGATTACTAATGGAGGTTTGAGTCAAGTATAGGGAATGCTTGAGTTAATTTTCCTCAAATTAATGCTTCTTGCTAGCTAATGACATCAAAACAAAATAGTAAGTGCCATTCGAAAAAGTTGAATTTCCGGCCATTTTTTATTACCACATTTGGAAACAAGACCGTCGTGTCATCAGGAGTTTGCCTTCACTTCCAGCTCACAGTTCCACAAATTTGGTGCTCTAATTTTGAACATAGGCCAATCGACCCTTGTGAAAAAAGTATTTTCTGTTTAAAATAAGGAAGTTGGTGCCGACTTTTGGCACACTCTGTTTATGTCAAACTAATGTGGACAACTCTGTTCATTCTATGAACATTTTGCAAGATAAAAATGTTTTCTCGAAAACTGTGATAAAAAACCCAGTGAGAAGGCCAATCGACCCTTATTTTCTGTTTAAAATAAGGAAGTTGGTGCCGACTTTTGGCACACTCTGTGTAAACTAATGTGGACAACTCTGTTCATTCTACGTCTCTTAGTTATGAGATCTAGAACTATGGTGGATCATTCCACTCAAGTAGTCAGATAACATGACTAGAACATCGAGTTGTCCCATTGGTCAGCAGACCGAGAGCGGCTGATGAGGCCTGGTGGGCCGAAACAGGAATGTCTCGCTCTCCTAGATCTCTTATAGCGAATTACATTGGCAGGAGCTAGTAGAGTGCTTCTGCACTCAATGGATATGTTTCCTCTTCTTACTAGCATATGTTGTAATAAACGTAAATCTATACTCAGTGGAGAAAAACTTCACCAGTTCCTGCCAATGGAATTTGCTTTTAGTTATGAGATCAGGTTTAACACTCTGTTCTGTATAGCTAGAGAAATAAAAATATTTCAGGTAGATTGGAAATGATGGAAAACTTGTGATGTGTGACCTACCGTAAATCACCCTGTATAGAATCCAACAAACACCAATATTAGAAAAACGATAATGGAAAAAAATTTATAAAACCCAATAAACCCTAAAGAAGACAAATAATTCATTCCACTTGTGACAGGTTTCACAAATTACCACTAGAGATTGTGAAAGGATGTGAGAAACTGGATGTCTATAGCTGATTTTCAATACAAAAGTAGACAAATTCAGTATACAAAATAACCAACTCTTGTCGAATTTGGCACCTGTTTGAATCAACATGCTGAAGAAAAAATTGATTATTTTCCTTTGAATATACTCCTGCATTGATTTCAACAAATTGATTGGTTATCCGTCTGATAAAACATGCTTTGATATTTTACCATGCAGGCCCTAGTATCACCAAAGAATAGTAGGTTGGTATCACATCGCCTCAAGTTGTATTCTGGTGCTATATCAAGTTATGTATTCTATGGAAGTTCTTGTTAGCACCTTATATGTATCTATAATCACATACTCTTCAATTCATTCCTATGAGGGATATTAGAACACAAGTAATATTTTCAGGATTTATTCAGCAAGTTGGTGTGGTTGATCATACAAAAACAAATAAGAAATATGAAAATAATTTGATTCTGAATATTCAGGTGGAAATTTTTTGTTGAATTTATACAAGTGTTTGAGTAAATCTACCATCATGATTTTGGAAACATTAATATTGTGAACCATTGTATCATTTTGCCACTGTTTCACCATAATTTCGTCACCTTTTCCAAATTTGAATAGCACCTTAGCTACCTCATACTTTTTCAGTGCATCAGAATCACTTAAGAATACCTGTAGATTCTTTTCTAATATCCATAATAATATCGTATCAGTTTGACTAGAGGATGTTTGGCAGTATACTAAAATTTTCATGGAATTTGAAATATTATATTCAAAAATATTTTTGAAACTCTGACAAACATCTTGCAGTCCTGAGGTAGAAATACAAGCATTATTACTGGAGAATTTTACAGTGTTCAACCAAAGTCTTAGAGAAGCATTGTTCAGCTTTATACCTAACCACTGCAAACAATATTTACACACTATGACTGTTTCAGATATTCTTATGTTTGTAATTTTTTCCATATTCAAATGAACAAAGCAATGGGTATAAAAAGCATCTGTGTCAGTGGGATTCAAAGAGGAATTAGCAATTTGGTTGTCATGGTTATGGCAGAACCAGTCTCCCACATCTGAATTTTCAGAAGGCAGAGGCAAAATCCTCTGGAATTTTATAGAATCTGTTAATGCCTTACAGCAGTTCAAACAGTGAATGACATAGCTCACATTCCTAGATAGCAATGGTTTGTTACTCAATGACTTGATACTAGCAACAGTATTCTGTAATAATTCAGTTTTAAATCCACCTGAATATTCCTGAGAGTGTGTGGCAAATCGAAAAGTTACAAATCTTCCACTGACTTTCAGGGAAGAGAGACTGTCAGGAGCAATGTTTATATCTTGGCACAAAATGTTTTCTCTACTTTTTCCTGCAAACAATTGTATAACTCCTTTCCCAAGTTTTATCTCAACTGAATTTTCCTCATGAATCAAACTTATGAAAGCATTTACACTTTGCAGTCTAGGCCTTACTTCTAAAATTACAGAAGCATAACACTTTTCTGACTCATTTGTCATGTTTAACACTTATTGAGAATACCCTCACATTCTAGTTTCTTGAACAACTTATCATTTTCTCTGACTGCAAAGGGAATGGTAACTTTCTGATAATAGTCAGACAGCAGTTCAATGTTGCTTATTACATTAGAAAGCAGATGGGCCTTTTCTGCTAAAATGCCTGGAGCTTCATGCTTCAAACAACAAAAGTGGATGTGTAGATGATAGAATGATGGCTGATAATGAAGATATATTCTCAGCTGTGAGGCATCCAAAGAGTATTTTGTTTTAATTGCTTCCTAAAATCCGAAACAATATTTTTAGAGTTAAATCAGTTGATCATTATAAAAATGGATAATTTTCACAAGATTTCTAACATGCAACATGCACACAAATTCTTGCTTCTACAAGGCAAATCTTTGAAAGGAATAGAAGTGGTTAATGGCAGTGAACATTTGAATAACTTACTATCCCCTTGTCTCTTATGTTTTGTAATAATGGTAAATGTTCCTGAGTTAGATCTCTCAAAGATTTTATGTGGTGCTTATTTACTATGGCCAGTAAATAGAGAGTATCAACTTCACCACTCCATTTCAAATCTGGTACTAGTATGAAGCCTGTTTCTGGATCTGGATCTTCATAAACTATTCTCTCAGTTTCTGATTTATGTTCCAGAATATTGTAAACCCACTGAAAACATTAAGATATTTTAGTGATTCTATTCCACAAAAATAGCCCTGCTCACAAAAGTTGGGTTAAAGATTTTTTACTACTTCATCCATTTATTCCACAGAAACCATGGACTTCTACTATTTATATATACCTATTACTACCTGTAAATTAGACTCTTCCTCACATAAAGCAGGTAAAACTATATTAGAATATATTGTTGGTGTTTCATTAACCATATAGAATCTCTGAGTTGAAAATTTGACAATATGTTTTTCTGTTGCTGGATGTATGATAGTTGTCTTTATTGCTGAAAAACAAAGATTTGTTTGCTAGCATAATAAGGTGGCTTTGTGGAGGGAGAGTACAAGTTTCAATAATAATGGCTTATTTCCAAGCTTCTCTTGAAAGCAAAAATGGATAATTGGAAATATTACTAAGGCATGATTTGTCATGATTTCTGAATCTGATTTAATGAAAGATATAGGCATTTCAGGTGGTTCACTTAAGGGAGGGAAGTTGGTAGCTACCTATTAGCAACAGCCTAAGTTTTCATGTTCAAAATACTGTAATGAATGCTGCAAACACTAGATATTCCTTCATAAAAGCACATGTACTCATCATGTAGGAATATTGACCAAATCTGGGACCAAATTTTGTGATAACTTCTTAGGAAACAGGGAAAGAATTAATTTCCATACTTAGGGGGGGATCATCTTGAGTAGAACCACCAGTGGAGCGAATGGTAAAAATTGTAATGAATCTGCTTATTGGAATGTACTTATATTACTTACTACTCAGTTCTAAACCAGGAAAATATTTGTAATCTCCATAAATATCATTCTGAAAGACTTTTTCCAGAGTATTCTCCACAGTAAAACAGTCAGTATTGTTCAAATTTTCTTCAGCAAATGCCGTCTTCTCCAATATGACAACTGCGTCCCCTTCTTTTGACTCAAAAGTGCCCTGTAAGCAAACAACTTTTCTGTTGGTGTTGTTTTGGAGTACCTTTGTCACTTTGAAATGAGACAAATCAATAAGTATATCATGAATATTTTCAGGAGCAGCAGAATCTAACTTTGATAATTTAGGTTCTACAGGCAATAAATCATCAACAGTAGTTGATACATAACTCGAATCTACGGTCGTCATATTTGAAACTTAACCTCATTTGAACAATGCCAAGTCGCACAAGTCGCCAACATATGAACATCAAATAAAATTACGACCGCAGAGCATGAATTCAATACCACCAGGGGTGCGTTTACCAGTGTCAGTGTTACCACAGATTAACAAATAAGGTTTGTTATGGCGAGTTCACATGCCAGTTTATGCCTACAGCAGAAAGCTTGAATAAAACGGGCGCACTGTTCATATGAAAAAGTTGGGAAAGTGACAGTGACTGCCACATATTTGGTTAAATTTCAGATAAACGTCCTCCAGAAACAACATATATCACATTTTTAGGAGTGTTTTTCCACTATTGTTTCCCACACTGCATAATATGATGATATAGCACCAATATGTATTCATTTTGTCAATATTTGTGTGGTTCTGTCAAACGATCTAAGCTTATTTCCGCAAAAGTCGGACTGAAACCGACTTTCTAGCTTATGACCTTGATAAGCGCTTTCTGATGAATCGGCCAATGAGATGAGGATACGCTGTAAGTCAAAATATGAAAATCCAGCATGTGAACGCGCCATTAATCTGTGGTGACCTTGGAGCAGAGATCTTTTCAATCCCGCTCTGGACTAGGGTAAAAATCGCCCAAGAGACCAAAACGTCTTTATAGCACAACAACTATCTTTTTATATTATTTTCTCTGATTACAGGAAATCACACTATATTGTTATGGAACTGTAATACATGTTATTTATTCCAGTTTCGTTTTTAGCCATAATACATATCTGTTTGGATACTTATTCAGTAGTTGAGTATACTTTTTTTTCCATTAATCATTTCCATTTTGCGGGTTAGGTTTAGGCGATTTCACTGGAATTCGCACACCAAAGCGTTCAGAAATGACAGACATTCTAGGTTCACCACCTTGACTGGAAACACTCTATCCTCAGTTCTCACGGACCTCGAGATGGCTGCGGTATTGGAAATGAATAGCTAAAGATCTGAAGGGTATCTCACATGCAGTAATGAATTTGCGCCTTTGAAGTGCCCACCTGATGTTAGGTTCATAGTGAATTCCATTGGCAGGAACTGGTGGAGTGTTTCTGCACCCAATGTATATGTGTCCTGCTTAGTCGCATGTGTCGAACAGGTAAATTTACACTCATCAGTGGAGGTACACCCCACCAATTCCTGACAATGGAATTCGCTATTAGATATTTGATATTTTCATTTCATCATTTGAATAGTCTGAGGCTTACGAGTCCTAAAACAAGGATTCTAAAATAGTGATATCCAAGGTATCGACGTATAGAGTTTCTTGTTTGAGTGTTAGATGTTTCGTGTCCAAAGAGCGAGAATCAGTGACAAAGGGTTGACGAAAAATCTTGAGGTTAAAGGTTATGAATATCGAAAACAGAAGAATCATTACTATGAAGAAGGAAAATTTCGTTTCTGCATGAAAGGAATCTTCTTCGAAAAATTTCTTAACAGATCGTTATTCGGGGGTTCATCGAAAATAGCGGTCAACTCATATATCAATTCGTGCTTCTTATAGATTCCATGCTCAGCTGTGGTGGTAGTGATATTGCTGGTAAGTTCGATACCCGGAATAGAAAATCTATAAAATTTATTCGACATCCTCGAAATGTGTTCTTTGATTTTCGGGATATAATGACACTGTTCGTAAAGATATGTCAATCGAAAATATTGCTAACAATTGGTAATGATAGGGAGAATATTGTTTTGCAGCACCTGTAACCTACCTATTTGGGTAGGCGAGGCACTACAAAACACCGGACAGGCATATATGTCATCACAGGCCTGATTATTTATTGCTTGCTGATCAAGAGCTTGTTATCAAATGTGAGCGAGGAATTTCTCGTCAACAAAGGGTACCAGCCCCTGATCGCTGCCTGGGTTGACTGTATCAAAAAGTTGAAGTTACTTCTAAATGACAAACGTCTGTTCAGCTTTACTCCCAGGTATTTCACAACAGGGGAGTCCGTAACCTCTGTGCCCATAACTGTCAAAGGTCGGTGGGAGACATTATAAGTACGCTTTCTGGAGAAGTTAATGACTTTAGTTTTTGCGTCAATTACGCCGTCAATTACGACTCCTCAAAATATGGTATGATGAAGGAAGACAAATACACTTACCACTGAGCTATCGAGTAACTCGAAGGTTCTAACTATGAAGAAAGAAGAAATATCCTGTATTAGCTTCTTTATCACAACAAGCAGCACAGCAGCATGCTACTAATTGAATTACTTGCGAGAGACGTACATTCATGTTGAACTGAATGGAGAAAACAAGACAGGTGGATGCACCATGCACCTCCATATTAGAGGTCTGACCAATCAAAAAGTGTACCACTATTGTCGTCACTCTAATCAGCACTAGCGCCAACGGCAACCGGCAGCCTCCTGCCATCCACTTGCGTCTTCTTAGGAGAAGCTAGGGTCCCTTGATGGAAATTGACGTAAAAGTCATCTTAGGGTACGGACAGATCAAACAGATCATAGCTGCTTGAGTTTTGTCTACTGGCATCCCTGACATTGCTGTCATGTCACATCCATGGGCGCCACAGAAAATCATCAAAAATTTTAATAATAGGTATGTACAGGGTATTTACTTGTTGAGGAAGATTATAATATGCCCAGTAAACACAACACGTTTCAGAAACATTTCAAAAGTTCCCTAATACGTGTCATCTGAAACATTCCAATGTTAACATAAAGGAAACATTTCTGGAGTTCTCCATGCTATGTGAAATATTTCAGAAATATGTCAATACATACGTCTCATATTTGTTACAAAAACTCTTTGCTTGGAATGTCTCACGTGAATCTCTAGATGTGTCATCTGAAACATTCCAATGTTAACATGAAGAAAACATTTCTGAAGCTCTCCATGCTATGTGAAATATTTCAGAAACATGTCACTACATACGTTTCATATTCTTTACAAAAAATCTCTGCTTGAAATGTCTCACGTGAATCTCTAGACGCGTCATCTGAAACATTTCAATGTTAACATAAAGGAAAAATTTCTGAAGCTCTCCATGCTATGTGAAATATTTCAGAAATATGTCACTACATACGTTTCATATTCGTTACAAAAATTCTCTACTTGAAATGTCTCACGTGAATCTCTAGACGTGTCATCTGAAACATCCCCATGTTTACGTATGTGAAATATTTCTCAGTTGTTATGCGTGACGTGAAACATCTCTGGAATGTTTCAATACATGTGTTTACTATTTCTTTGAAATGCATCATATTCGACTTTGCCAGGTTCATGATTCCGTTTTATTGGCTATAATGAATCACATGCTTGAGTGTGACCAATGAAGACGGGTGGTTACTCTGGCAACATCGGCATAATATGACAGTCCGAACCAAGCACGGCCGGCTCCGACTTGCTCCGACTGTCCAGTCCGAGAAGCGAGTGGGTGAACACAAAGACGAAGCCATTCTTTCTTTTGTTGTTCTTATTCCGGTGAAGCCATTTTAAGCGTCCATTGATATTGCCTGATGGTGGTAGTGCTAATGTTAAAAGTTGATAATGACAACTACGAATATGAAAAAGGTGAGTGGGTGAGTGGATCAAATGGATCTCAAAATTTTTTCAGGTGCTGTCAGAATAAGGTTTGCTGTGACGGACGTGGAGTTCGAAAGATATGTAGCAGCCTGATGGTTCCGCCAATCTGGTCTCAGGTTAGCTAGAGAAAGGGAAAATATGAAATGAAATGGTTTTTTATTATAATTTAATGAGTTTTCATAATATAAAATCCACTAGAGCTGCAGTTTATATTATTATTAATACCAATTGACTACATTACACATGATGTTAATTAGGGTTCACTTTCATAATGAGTAGGTAAGTGATTAACTTCTGTGGTAATGTAATCTTGGTATGAACTAAAAATGGTTTCATATTTGAAATGTTTCATTATCAGCAAAAGTGAGATGTATCGGAAATGTTTCAAAAAAGTCATGTTGAAGATGTTGCAAATAGTGCAATGAGGAAATGTTTCGATGACACTATTTGTGAAACGTTTCATGAAATGCAATAGTGAAATATCTCAGAGATGTTTATGTATACTCTTCATTGGATGTTTCATGGAGATTTGGGTTGAAACATTCCAATGAAACATTACACACCCTAGGTCATTTATGGTCTCTAGAATGTCTCATAAATGTTTCGGAGTATATAGGTGAAATGTTTCATATTTCACAAAGTTTGTTTCAGGAACGTTTCAGAAACACAAAATGGTTTACTGGGTGGCGAACGAGTTTTGTAATTATGATCCGATTCTATTCATAATTGGAAGACATCTGGGGTTGGAGGTAAAGATTGTTTCGTCAAACTTGGAAAATTCAAGATGACGGATCCAATATTGCGAAAGACATATATATGTTTATATAATTATTTCCCTACCACAAATTGAAAATATGTAGGATGCAAGAGTGAAAATAACGTGTCTATAAGTTTTACTGCGTATACCTATTTCTTATTTACTTTCATTAATAATCTATTCGAAAATGACTCTTTATTCAAGGGAGACGGAAAAATCATATGTATAACATGGGGGGAAGTATATTGTATTCTTTATTTTCCTGCACATTTTACGTATCACTTTTTATCAGCCTACTTTTCGTCCCAGACGAAGTTTTATACATAGTGTGCTATTAGTCACTCCATAAATTCTTCTCCGAATTGGATTTCCGAAAATATATTTAAAACACATTACATGAGTACAGTATAGTTCAGATACCCACATCAAGGTTTCCACTATTTCTCAATCATAAGGCTCAGTTCATTCAGCTCATAGATATACTTCTGCTTCAGCTTGAAATCAGAATTCATTTAGTCAATTCAGTCGTCAACCCTGGTATACAGTCTAAGAACAGTCTCTTTTGCTGAAATATATTAAGCTTTCACTACAATTTATATGTTTTCTACCTCGCAAAGATTATGCTGGAGTAATAAACTCTAAAACCCCAGACAGCACTGGATATTCCTAG